TTAGGCAGGAAGATTATCTCGCCCTCTACACGTATCCACACCTCGGGATGGATTCCAATAATTGGAACTTGTATGCTAGGACCCGAATCTGTTATTCGGTTTTATGATTTGAGAAAACGAGACTTAGATCACTCTTCGAATCTCTTGGATCTCACAAAAAGTCTGTAAAAGTGTTCTAAAGTCGGCCCTCCTTCATTAGGGTTTAATCTTCTTCTTATAAAGTGATTTAACCCTCATTTCGGTTTAATTTTCGAAAATTCCGCGCGTAGACTGGTTATGGCTTGGTCGGTTCTGGTTCCTGGGTTGATCACGGTTTTGAGATGGTGGCCGCGATCGGTTCCCGTCCTTTGGTCGGGACGGTTGGCTTTGCTTGTTCGCGTTGTAGTCGGGCAAGCCTTCCACAACGGCGATAGCTGCCTCCAAGGTTTGAGCGTCCCGCCTATTTACTTCCAACCTGGCATAATCCTTAAGTCCGTCCTTGAAATGAAATAGTGCGTCAGCACCCGTTAGATCAGTCAATTCAAGGCGTAAGGATGAAAAGTCGCGAATATAATCGGAAATACTCCCTGTTTGGCGCAAGCGTCGGAGACGTGTCCGGGCTTCGTCATTGGCATTGGTTGGAACGAAATGGCGGCGGAGCTCGGTTTTGAATTGGGCCCATGTGTCTATGCGGCCTTCCCCGCGTTCTTGGTCGGCCAAGACGCGGCGCCACCATAGTTGGGCGAGATCCCGGAGATACGTCGGAGCGTGTCCTACCCAGGAGTCGTCGTCCATGACGCCATGCCCCTTGAAGTATTGCTCCATCTCAAAGATGAAGGATTCGACCATTGCAGCATTCCTCGTCCCGTCGTACAGGGACGGTTCGGGAATTCGGAGTGCTGAATGGTTTCGAACGTGAAGCGGAGGTGCTGCTTGAGCTGCGTCCCTAAGGATCCTGCACTCAAGTGTAAGTTCGTTAATAATACGACGCAAATCGGTTACCTCTCGGTCATACTTTTCATGTACGAGCCGAAATTGGTCATCCGTTGTGCCGCGGTGCTGCTGGATTCGACGGTCGAGTCCATCGAGTACTCCCTTTGTCGACTGTCCGACGGCTGAGATCTCTTGTTCGAGATCGTCGAACCGGGTGTCATGTTCCTTTGTCGGGTCTGGCTTCTACGGCGTTGATCTTGGCACGCTTTGGGCATTCCCGGACCCAATGCGGACCGTTGCAAATGTAGCATGGGTTCGGTGGTTTGGACCGATCCCTGGGCTGTCCCGTAGACTGGTTATGGCTTTTTCATGTCAATTTATGATGTACATACATACATGGGACTGATTAAGATTCTAGAAATAAAAAACTTTGTTTTGGTAATACATATTCCGTATTTGGCCATTCTATGCGAATCAACATCAGTATTTATCCGTGTGTGTCGCAAGCTCGTGCGCGTGGGTTTGGGGTTTGACCTGCAGGCGCCTAGGTCCAATTACGGCCCGAGTGTTAGACGCGTCTGGTGGCCAGGTCTGGGGGACCGTTAAGCGCAGGTGGTGACCAGTTCGTCTCCGTTTGTAATGGTAGGTAGTCACCGAGGTTCCCCGATGTATCAAAAAAAAAACATCAGTATTTATCCCAAATTTTTTTCATCAAATTAAAGACTTTGTCTTGGCGGTGTCACAATGGTATTGGATAAGTGCACTTTTGGTAGGGTTCTTTTAAAAAAATCATGTACATAACATATTACAATTAATTAGGTTTGTAGGGAGATTATCAAATACATTTATAGGCTTCTATAGATTTTTATGTGCATTGGCCAGGTCAGGCGAGACCCCACAATTTCTGGAGCCTCGAATTATAAAAAAAAACATATATATCAAAACCAACGAAAATAATTGATGAATTAAGAATTCGGATAACATAGATTGAGAGGGTTTGGTTCTGAAAATACGAGACGTCAAAATTTTATCCCCTTTTACTGTTGATAGTAACGAAAACATGCTAGCCGAAAGGATTCCGAGTGATGAAGTTTAATATATTAATATAAATAGCGGTGGCACTTATAAAAACATAATAATAATAATAATAATAATAATAATAATAATAATAATAATAATAATAATAATAATAATAATAATAATAATAATAATTGGCCTGATTTTACCTACCGGGAGGGAGATATGTAAAATCGAGACCAGTTTTTTTAAAATTTATATGAATTATATTAAAAAATTGAGACTAATCTTGGTCCGTCATCAACTTTAGAGAAACGAGCAGTCGAGATGCGAAAAATTCCACATTTTTCATTTGAGACACGATAGAAGCTTAAGCATAAGTTTAAATTAGGGCAAATGTCTCATTTAGCATGCAACGTAGTCGAATATCTAATACATTGTTTCGAGTAAACTACAAAATAGAAACTGAGCAGCTTGACTTGCTAGCCTTCAAGATTGAATTAAAATCGAATATATATATATATATATATATAACACTGCGGAAGCGGACAAAATAGAAATAAACAAATAAATAAAAAGGAAGAAAACATAACAATCTCAGTCACTTGCATTTATAATTTTCCTTGCAACTAAATGTCCGGGGAAAAAATGTGTTTTGTCAGAAATGCTCCGCTGTCTAAATTCGTTTTCAAAATTCAATAAATCCACCGATCCAACACGCGCTTCAAGGGCGCGTTCATTCACTCTCTGGTCAAATTAAATATTTCCCAACTACTTTAGTCCCTTGGAAATAATTAAATAAATGCATGAATAAAAACTCTTCAGCAAAACAAACTATAGATTCTCAATTGGATTTTTTTTCCCCCAAAATTTTCATATGGTTAAAATTCATAATACTGATATCATGTTGAATTGCTGATGATATATATGCATAAATATAATGTCATGTGGTTTCTAACAATCTGGAAAGTCCTTTTATAATAGAGATATTCAAAATATATTACTCTAAATAATATTATTAATTGTATTTTTTTTTTTACATTTGGAATTTAAAGATAAAAGAGTTTGCATGGATGATTTTTCTTCTTTTACAGCGTCACAGTTGTCTCTCTAAATAGTAAAGTTTTGCAATGTCAAAGTGAGGGTAAGACTTTAGACTCTGTTTTCCTTTATTGCAATATATATATATAGCTAATAAATACACCATGAAGTGTATAAAATAAAAATTATTCTAAAAAAATGCCACCACCGATATGACAACGTTACATTATGATTATAGCTGCGAACCTAAAAGGAAGTAATTAAATTTGTCTTTTTTCTTATATATCTATATATTGAAAAAACAAGTAATGACAAAAATTAATTTCATTTTAATAAAATGATTTTACGATCTTCGTCAAAGGATGAGGAGTGAATCGATCGTCACCTCGGTTGAGATAATACAGTTCAATATTGAAACAATTTCTTTTGCATGATTGTTATTATTATTATTTATTAAATGTTTGGAAAATTGCAATGCATTAATTAAAAGAAAAAAAAATACGAATTCAAAAAATATAAAAATTTGAAAGCTCCAAAAGAAAAGAAAGACACAAGAGTGTGTATTGAAACCGAAAGGCAATGTGGCTGTTGAGTCACGTAACTTGTCGTCTACCCTTTTCATAATACAACAAGGAGATAAATGCCAATCGCAATATTATTCCATCTTCAATTTCACACAATTCTTTAATTTTACTTTTAAATTTTTTTGAAAAACTTTCGAGAATATTACAATTTTCAAATTGTAAAATTATTATTATTATTGCTCATCAAATCAATTTAAACACGTAATACAATTATACTTTAACATATTCCTAACACAATAAAAAAATCTAAAATAAACTATAAACACAATGATATAGCAACTCTACTCTAATATAATATAAACTATTTGTATTCTCTAATTATAAACTATCTCATAAGATTAGATTGGCATACACTATAAATCTAAATAGCCTTTTTTTTTCCTCTAAAATTTTGATGTACTTACTTTCGTATATGATCACCCTAAACTTATATGGCAAATCTAATTTTTCTACAACATAAATAAAAATATTATATCATACTTTATTAAAAATATATATATATATATATATATATATATA